GTTAAGTATTTCGCTTTCCTCTTCTTCTTGATATCGGTCTATGCAGAGGGAATCTCTAGTTAGGATCGCTTAAATTATCGAACTCCAACAACTAGATAAATTACCATTAGTTGAGGAACGCGAATTTGTAAATATACGCATGAAGATAATGTTCAGAATTATATTGATGGATTAAATATTTAATAGATAAAATAATGAAATTTATCTTCAAATTGGTTAATACCGTGCTTTAATGTTCGAGATTTAGGATGCGGAATAGTTTAAAACTCGCAGGGATAAACAGTATTTTCTTGCCTTATCATAAGTTTTTTTTTATCCGTCATAAAAAGAAAATTATATTTATTTCACATATAAACCAAGAATTCTTTTTGAAGGCTACAAGGTTTCCAACAGGGGCGAAAGCGAGACGGAAAAGAGAAAAGGCTGGTAGTAAAACCATTTCAGTTATTGCTAGTTTTAACTTATTCTCCTTTTAAACTATTCAACAATCTCCATTTTATCTTGGAAAAGAAGCAGATTTATATATATGTTAAAATCTTAATGAAATCTTGATAGTTACAGATATTTTATTTTTCTCGGAAAAAGTGCTATAATAAAATGTATTTGGTACCAGTTTTTCATCTTTTCGGTCTTGCTATATAAGGGCTTTCAGCCATGGTTCCCATATCCTCACCTATATGAATCTAAGTAAACCGCATTTTAAAGTTCAAAATATATATATTTATTAACTACATACCTGCCAACTTTCACTCTTTCCGAGAATGGATTTTCAGAGTGGTTGTAAAACAATAAACGAAAAACAATCTGACTCAAAAATATATTTATATTTTGATCTCGTTGAAATTCGGTTTCTCATGGATTACTATGCTTTTATATATTTATTGTAATTATTGTTATATGTAGTAGTGGTCAAACTCATTTATAATTATCATTATAATTCAAAGAGTAAATTGGAATAACATGAGTATTGCTACCACTTTAAATATGAAAATAAAATCTTCCGGAAAATCTGGAAGAGTTGGCAGGTATGTAACTATATCAAATCTAATGGTTACAAAAATCATACAGAGAAAAATGATTGAAATACAATAAAAAATGAAAAAAGAATATACAAAATATAATGATTTTAAAAGTTTAAAAATAACAAGTTTATTCTATAAATTAACTAGACTTTACTGGAATTTTATTTTGATTGTTCCTTTTTTTATTTTATTTTTATTTATTGAAGAGTTGTTTAGTTAAAATAACTTTGGTAATTTAATACAATATTTTCGCGTGAAATTTATTTTCATGCTTAACATTTGTCATTTTTCTTTACAGGCATTATGTTTTGCTTATTCATACTAAGGAGTGAAGCGAAATTGGATAATTTATGCAAGAGTTTCAGGTAGTTGTTTATTTTCCAATATTATTTTCCATGCAAAACATGTTTTTCTATACATTTTGCTTAACATGAATCAATGGAACAATGAGGGAGGCTGAATGGAATTTATGGACTATACACATAAGTCCAGTCAAAATTCAGCGTATGCACCAATGCGGCTGATGTATTTTTGCTTTAAATCAAAACTAAAACAAATTTCTACGGAGTAGATTTTTGTTTTAGAAAATATAGAATATAGAAATCATTTTATATTATTTAAATCTCATAGAAATGTGATCTTGGAATTGAGAGTTAGTGCAGATATTTAGGTAACATATTTTATGGGCCATGGATTACATTTAAAACCAATATAAATGAGCTCATAGAACAAGGGTTTCATCAAACAAATAGTTACTATTTTTTATTTTATTTTGTGCTACTCTTATTTGAAGTGCTTAGTACAGTGATGCCAACTTGCTCCGGAGAGTGTATAGACATTTTAAAGTGGCAATGTATTAATTTATGCTTTTAAAGTATGTTTCATGGTTAAGTAAATTCGATTTATAGGGTTTTTACCACTACTTCTAAACAATTCAAAAGCTTACATTTTGATATATACGACCTTTGTCACCGACGTGTTAAGCCTTCACACGGTATCTAATATGTAGTCCGTTCTGATCACTCTGAAGGTTAACTAGTTTTCAAAAGAGCCTCTTAATAGAAAATCTAGTAAAATTAAGAATGTGATAGCAGATGTACGTCTAAATTTTTCTTAATTTATGAATATAATTGTTTTGTCTTATTTACTTAAATTAAACTCAGTGGCGCGACAGCCCCTAAAGGGCCAAGGCCTACTGTGCCAACGCCACCTATAACTGAAAGCCTCCACACGGTTTTTTATAGGTAGTCCGATCAGACCACTGTGAAGGATATCCACTTTCCGATCGAGTCATTTGATACGAAATTTAGTTAAAATAAGAAAGTGGTAGCAAATATATGACAAAAAATTTGTTTTATTTATGAATATTATTGGTTTGCCTTATTCACTTATCAACCACTACAGATTCAATTCTCAAATATATATGATAAATTTCTCTCAATTACTTTTATAAAAGGTTTTGGGTTCATGCGCACAACTGGTTCACTTTTTAAGTAGTCTGCGCGGACTTCTTATCAAAGACCGTGTGGAGGCTTTTTGATGTAGAAGGTGATGACTGTGCCCATCTCAGTTTTCTTAACCTTGGGCTCTGGGGTGCAGGAGCAGATGTTCCGGTCAGGTGGTCAGCCGAATGCGGAACCCCCAGTGTTTAGTTCCCAAGCATGCTTGGTACTCATTTATCGACCCACTGTAGCGATCGATGAAAGGCTGAGTCCACCTTGCTCGGCCCGAGGATCGAAACAGGGACCTGCGGCACGAGAGCGTGAAGCGCTACCACTCAGTCACGGGGTTTCGTCTTATTTACTTGTCAACCACTAAATGTTCAATTCTCAAATATATATGATAACTTTCTCTCGATTACTTTTTAAATAGTATTTGGTTTCATGAGCACCATTGGATCCCTTTTTAAATAGTCTGCGCAGATTACCTTGAAAAAACCGTGTGGAGGCCATCTGATGTAGGTGGTGATTGTTGAGTCCTATGAAATGTTGGCAAAAATTACAGAAAATCTGTAAATTTTAGTTTGTAGCTCTTTACCGTTTTCTTTTTAAGCATTTTATTAAGTCCCGAGCAGTTGTCATCCTTGTTAGTGGATGAACCAGGGAAGTGACATTTTCAAAGTGGTGTATACCCAGCGTAAGGGGCAAAATGATATCCTAACTAATTTTTTATGGACTTATTAGAAGGCGGAATTAATAACTATTTACCTTGTTTTATTTACCACTATCTAACTTAAAATAGAAATCACCCAAGCATACTTAAAACTAAGAGGATTAAATTATGCTGTAAAAAAGTGAAAGCGAAAACAATACTGTTACATTGAAATACCCATGTTGATTAGACCGTATGTTATTTTCCATGGTAGAAAAATGACCCTGAAAATGTCACTAATTTTCTTCATCCACTGAGGTCTTCATTTATTAGCTCAAAGCAAACTCCCGTTTTAAAATTTTATTGCATAAACATAAGTTTAGAATTCAGATTAATAAGAACAGCCGGAATTCTTGTAAGATAAGAGAAACGACTTTCACCTCTGGAAATAATTCTTCAAAAAAATACCTTTATTGTTAGACCTCAAAAAAAAAAGATATGTTACAAGTAAACAAATCAAAGAAGGACGTGAGAATGATTAAACTAAGCGTAAAATAATCCGTTTACTTTTTAATTTTTACTTTAGCTAAATGAAGAAAGAATTATTTGTCTCGCTACACATAAAATAGAAGTATAAATAGAATAAGAATGGATTGTTTATTTAGCGTAGTAAAACAAGAAAATGAAGGAAGATTTCTGCTGTCTACATACTAAAGTATTTGATAAGTTTATGTGCGTGTATATATTTTAAGAACTTAGTTTATTTTTTAATAAACACTTAAAGCATTTAGAATTTTTTTTTTAAACAATTTTAGACATAAAATAATATCAAGCAAATATATATAAATCTTGATGATGTCTTATTCTTTGCCAGAATAAGCTGAAGATTAAGATTTTTAAGAATTATGAATGTTTACCAAACGTTTTTAAAAGTTGATATTTTTAAATCTTGTTTCGTTTTTCATGCTGTTTATAGAAAAGTATTTTGCGAGTTTCATGATTCACCACTTGATTACAGTACATCAGGATAATCATCTTAGTTTATTTCATTTTATAACCGTCGTTGAACAGTTGACCCAATTTTTAAGTAACTTTTAGTAAACAAATATCAATCTATATAAATTTTAAATAACTATTATTAAAAGAATATTTTTATACTAAAATTTTAAAAACTATTTTAAATCAACTACTTAAAAATATTAAATAAATATAATAAGCACTTCAATAATTTTGAATGGCTAGCGTAATAGTTAAAAAAACGGTGTCTAGATATAATAAAGTGCCTATTTGCTTAATGAACCAAATTTTTTGCATTTTTATGAAATATAATTTATCAATGAAGCTTAAGGTCCTAACGACTTTCTTCTTGATCTTGCCACCTTCTAAACAAGTTAATGTTTCACTTAAATCGGCATTTTAGCAAAGTATTTATCCTTATCAGCATATATTGTGGAAATTGTTTCATGGCACATGAGAAGGCAGGGTGGCAGGTTCAAATCCCGCCGTAACTCAGGATGTATCTTTGTGATGTCCTTCTCTGTATTGTGCTACCTGTCCGTCTACTTGACAAAGGTTTGCAAGCCTTAATTGAGCACACAAGCTTACAAATGTATTACTAATAAATGAGCAAAAAATAAAGAAATTTCCAACGGAATGTGCATATGGGAAATTAACTTCTAGAGTATAGTAAATATTTCTATTCGCAAGATTTTAAGGTATTAAATGATTTTAAGTACCGCACTGGACTGATCGTTTAGAGACGGTTCCTAGTAGATCACGTGATACACAGATAAACAACTACTATTAAATAATTAAAAAAAAATTTTTACCAAAATGTTCAAATACCAGAATATATTATTTTAGAGTCAATTGTAATTTCTTTCTGACCTGAATATTTCTGTAATAGATGCTCGAATCATTTCACTTCCAACTGCTTATCCTCGTCCAGATCAAGAAGCAGGCATCTGTTTAAAGAATTTAGTATTAAAGCAAATAATAAGTCACATTGAACAACAATCAAATATAAAGACTTTGCATTGCAATTTAAGCACTATAAGCAATAGGAGAGCAGATTTTTTCATGCAATTTTGTGACATTTGATTGTACAATGTGTACAAATGTATACTATTCTGGAGAAATCCAAGATAGCAAAACTCAAAGGAATTGCACGAAATTGTAAAGAAAAAAAATTCTTGCTATAACCATATAACGTATTTCAATTGCGCGCAGATAAAATAAGTGCTGTATATTAGTGTTGTCACTAAACTTAGTGGAATGCTTGTTTTATTAGTGTTCGTTTTATTATATTCGGATTGTAATTATTGATAAACATATTTCCTGACATTTTTTTAATCAATCAGGTTTTTTCAGCTGTTATAAATGAAAAACATGGTTAAAAATTGAATAGTATTATTTGTATCGAACTCAAATATTCAGTATCAAGTATCAGGAATTGGGGTATGAGATACCTTTTCAAGACTCGCATTCTCTATTTTTAGCTCCTATTCCAACTGGTTCATCTCTTACACTCGAAGGTCATGAAACTTTCTTACCACTTACGATAAGGAGGGTACTTACTTAACTTGCCACTTTGAAATTTTTTTAAAATGTTTTTTTTTTTTGGCTGTCCGAAAAAAATCCAAAATACTACGGCGCGTTAAAATATTGCAACGCGTGTATTTGCCGAAAACAAGTTATTAACTTTTAACTTTCTTTCAACATTTTTATTAGCCATATAAGTTGAACCTTATTAACCTTCCAACTAATTCACACGAAAAGAAAGTTCAAATTAACACCTTACTAATACTGCCCGGTAACAAGTTAAAAATCCTTATCTTATGAAACTTACAACATATTTACATGATTTATATATTTAAATGTAACTTTTTTTGTGACATTTTAAATTTATTAAAGCATTTGTCGAAACAATATTTTGTTGAAAAGTGAAGTTATATTTTTAGTACTAAAAATATAGGTTTTCCATTCTTCACCCATTCAAAACTCTATTATAATGCCAAAGTAGAAAATAAAAAGCAGGAGTAATTATTCATACATTAATTTTTTAAAAGCTTTATTTACCCAAGGCCGCGTCTTGTTCTAAATTAAAATAATTACTGCTCATTATTCATGATTCATGAATGTTCTGAAAATGCATTTAGAGCTAAGTATTAGTTTATTTTGTATTGCTTTCCGAATAATTGATATAATAAAGTTATTGTTTGCTATTAATATTATATTTTTTGTGTGTCGAAGGTCACGCGAATTATATGACACGTTCGCGTGTTTATTTTATTAAATCAACTTTCGTCAACATTATTAATATTTTATTGGATAATATATTAATTTTTGATTTTTCGGAGACATTTTTGCGACACCAGCGACATTCCCAATATTTCTATCGATTCAATCTACCATATTATTTCATAAGTAATAAATACTGAAAGCAGTTACGTACGGGATATACATTTTCACATTTATTATTTAAATGTTGACAATTTATCTACGCAGGCTAATGCTTTTTTAACACGTTCATATATCCATTGCTATTTTGTTTTATTGAAATTACATAGAGTCTTATGCAGTCTTGTGTGATCAATTTAGGATTTTAAGCCTTTGTCAAGTAGAAGGACAGTTAGAACAAATCCGAGAAGGATATCACGAAGAATGTATCTAAAGTTACAGTGGGATTCGAGCCAGCTACCTACACGTTTAGCAAAGCGTTTGGCATGCGATACCGCTCGGCGAGAGATGCCCTTATATATTCGTTGCCAGTAAAGTACATTAATTACAAGTAATTATACTATTTCTGTATAATTGGTGGGTAGATACTTTATTTACGTCGTACATTGGGCTATTGGCGATGGTCAAGGAAACATATCTGGGGATGATCCGAAGACAAGCCATCGTGATTTTGATCTTCTGCATAGGGAATGGCTCATTTGCTTTGGTAGTCCGACGGCCTGCGGGAGAAGTCAAGCACTTTACGGTAGAATAGTTTAATGAGAACCGACCGATACCATGCACCCTCAGTCCCTACGCTGGCTGATCAAAATGGTTACCCACCTAATTTACTGGCCCCAGCTAGTGATGCTTGACTTCGGTGCTCTACTGGGAACCATGTCTTTACGATCAGTCCACTGCGGGACATCTATATGATTAAAAAGTTGTGACCTATAAAGAAGAAATCAAAGTTAAATTTTTTTATTCTGACAATCATTTTAGCTTCTAAATTTTTAATAAGTTTATATCAATAAAAAGTATTTTATTGTTATAAAAAATATCATATATTCTATGAAAATAGTTTGATGACAGTACGAATCTTTTATTGACGTGAATTGTAGGGAAGAATATTATCAATATTATATGATCAGCAACGAAAGTGCTACAAGCGTTAAATTTTAATTTTGTATAATCATCATCATCAACATTTATCTGGGCGCCTGGGGCCGTTAGCGGCCTTTTTCCCATTCGTCTTGAATTTTGATCTTTGGGGTGGTTCTTTCTGGTAATTGGAATGCAATTGAAGTAAAAGGAAATTAAATATTTTGAATTTTAGATAAAATTACGTCACTACAAAAATGAGCTGATGTTTGCAGCTGATTCAAACCAAAATATTGAAATTAATTTTTTTTCGCTTTCTAACAATGGAAATATCGCCATTCCAAAGTTCCGTTGCGTTCTAAGGAATTGTCTTGGATTTATTCTTTTTCTTTATTTACAAAAATTGGGCACCTTGATCGCTCAGCGGCCCCTATCCCATACATCAAGAAATTCACAAAAAATTTATAGAAATAACATTTTGAATTTAGCAGTCGATGTGGTAGCTAATTAAAAAGCAAGTACTTTGCTTGAGTAAATGTAGCATTTGAATATCTGATTCATCTTCATCTTATCAAAGTTAACATACATAGACGCATATTGACATATATAAATATAAACATAATTTGACATCTCTCTTGGATTTATCTGAATTACAAAACAGTTACTATTATTTACTAATTCTGTTTCTCTTCTGGTGTGCTTCATAATGTAGTAATTTCGAATTTCGAACTCACAAAAGCATGAAGACCAATTAGAAACACATAGTTCAAAGAGCAAAATAGGTTGAAATTGCTCTTTGACGACTTTGAGGAGCGTTTATGAGTCAACAATATTAAATAAATGTAGTCATTGCTGAAAACTATGCAACAAATGGCTATTCTTTTACTTTAAAACGCTTTCAAGTAATAATTATCTTCAGTTAGGCTTACAAATATATTATTTATATTTTACAGTGCTTTTATAAACTTTTACTTTTGCCTTAACATCAATGAAAATATCACCATTCCAAAGAACTGCTTCAGTTTCTAAGCGATCGTTTTTGCTTTTATCTGTATTACAAAACTGTAACTATTATAAACCAATTTTGTTTTCTTCTGGCGTGCTTCGCAATATAATAATTTCTAATTTAGAACTCACAAAGGCATGAAGATCAATTAAAAACACATCGAAGTTTTCCCTCCAAGAAAGGTTCACTTAAAATCGATTCAAAGACGCTAAAAAAGTTGAAATCGCTCTTTGACGACTTTAAGGAACGGTTATGAGTCAACGGGATAAAATAAATGTGTTCATTGCTGAAAATTATGCAACAAATGGTTATTCTTTTTCTTTAAAGACGCTTTCAAGTCATAACTGTCTTCAACAGTTAGGCTTACAAATGCATTATTTATTTTTATTTTTTGAAAATAATCATTTCGCTTTTTTATAATTCTGTTTTATGCCTCGAAAAATTAAAGGGATCTTCTCAAAATTTATATTCGAATTTTTAATCATCATTATATTTTTAGAAGACAGTATTTTTTGGTAAGTAATAGAAATTTTTAGATTTTTGTTTAAAATTAAAATGTAAAAATTTGTATTTTATAAGCTATTTATATTTTTCGGTTGGCAACTAGTTCCTGCCATTTTTTTAAAAAAAAAATTTCAGAAATTTTTAAGTGTAAGAGCATTTTATTTCCGCTGCTAGTGCCATTTTTCTTAGAAGCGAATTTTCAAGGAAAAGCTAGTTTAATCGTAAACTAGAATTCTAGTATGAGGTGGTGCATTTGTGAATTTCGATTTTTAATTTTATACATTCCAATCTCGGACAGTTTTACAGCTATGGTACCATTTCCGTACACCCCACAAATATTATAAGCAGCTTTTGTGGCTTTGATAACCTTAATTGAAAGCGAAAAGAGAGAGTTGATGAAAATGCTAATTTTTCTCACTTTGGCTTTCCATTTCATTGATCTGAAAATTAATATCAATTAACTGCTATAATTTTGTCTCTGTTGCCTCGACCCTCTTCAACATCGACCTCAACTGCTGCCATGACTCCCTTCATTCCGAAAAAGTATTTAAAAAAAACGGTAAATAACTATAAAGTAAATTTTGCTAATATTTGAGGCTATTTTTTCTTGCTTTTCAAAAGGTATGGCGAGACATAAATACTTTACTTTTACTTTATTTATAAAAAATTGGGCACCTGGGCCGTGCAGCGGCCCCTATCCCATGCATCTAGAAATTTACATAAGTTTAAAGTCATAACATTTTGAATTTAGCAGTCGATGTGGTTGCTAATACAAAATTACAAGCACTTTTTGCTTGGGTAAATAAGCATTTGAATATCGAAACTAAATTTACACATATAAATATAAACATAATTTGAAATATATATACATAGATTGACATAAATTAATATAGTAAATATAACATTTGAATATCGTATCTAAATTGACATCTGTTGACATATATAAATATAAACATAATTTGTAATATATATACATAGGTTGACATAAATAAGTATAACATTTGAATATCGAATCTAAATTGACATCTGTTGACATATATAAATATACACATAATTTGCAATATATATACATAGGTATTAACAGAAATAAGTATTAACATAAATAAGTATTAACAGAAATTGATACATATTAAATTTTTACATTTAACTAGCACATGCTTAATTAAGATATACATTGAAAGTCTAGAATTTAGAGTTCAATGTTGAAGAGACATAAATACGATAAAGTGGGGAATTGTATAAACCTACGAGCTATTTAGAAATATTGGTGGTTAAAATCTACTAAAATGAATTTATTAATCCAAGAATCACAATCTGTAAACTATCACTTTAACCCTTTCGCACCGGACGGGACATGTGAAAGCCCTTATATAGCAAGACGGAAAAGAGGAAAACCTGGTACGTAAAACATTTCATTCCAGCATTATTTTCGAAAAAAATGAAATATCTGTAACTATCAAGATTTCTTTTATAATTCTGGCATATATATAAAACTGCTTCTTTTCCAAGATAAAGTAGATATTGTTGAAAAATTTAAAAAAAGAATAAGTTAACTCCTCCCCAAAACTAGCTATAACTGAAATGGTTTTACTACCAGCCTTTCCTCTTTTCCGTCTCGCTTTCACCCCTGCTGATTTTTCGCCGTTTTGAAAGGGTTAAAATATATATTTCCTGTCCGGAGCAAGTTTGCAAATATAGAAGTCTGACCCACGCCCCATGAATATCATCGAAATTCATGAGGTTGCGAGATTAGGATAATTTTAAATAGTTTTAATACTTTTGAAGAGTGGTTTGCTACAACTTAAATATTTTGGGCGAGACTTTTAAAGACCGTAGTTCAATTATTTAATTCGTGGAATATTGTACATTGCTTGAACGTTTTATACAGGGTTCCCAGGTCATCACCTCCTACATCAAGAAGCCTCAACACGGTCCTTCATAAGTAGTCCGCGCAGACTGCCTAGAGAGGGAACCCAAAACTTTTTATAAAAGTAATTGAGAGAAATTTATCTTATATATTTGGGAATTGAATCTGTAGTGGTTTAGAACCCTTATTATTAGAAGAGAACATTAGCCCTTAAATATTAGAGAGACAAAAGGAAATTGACAGATAGTTTATAGCGCCAGCATACCTTATTTAATGTTATTCATGATTAGCGCAGTTTAGCTGATTCCGTCTTTTATGTCACTGAAAACTTAACTCAGAGTTCAATCCAATCTTGTAAACGCATAGCAGTTATTATTTGTCGTAAAGCACTAATTGAAGCAAAATTTAACTTCAAAAGTTTTCTTTGAAATTCATGATAGTTTTTTATTTTAAAAACAATTTTGTTTTACTGTTCTTTAATTGAAAACGTTAACTTGGCAACTAGTTATAACACTCAACTAATTATAACATTCAACTAATTATCACATTCAACTAATAACACTCAACTAATTACAGCATTCAACTAATAACATTCAACTATTATAGCATTCAACTAGTAATTTTCAACTAATAACATTCAACTAATGACATTCAACAAATTATAACATTCAATTAAGAACATTCAACTAATAAAATAACAGAGTTTCAATGACTCTTAAAAATACTGAAAAAGTGGTGCTTGTATTCTAAACACAAATAAATTTTTTTTTTTACCTTAACACTAGGTTTACGGACGTTTCTTACATACCTATCTCTCCGAACACGCGACAATTTGACGCATGAACGAATACTTATAACAGCACTTACAGAGATGCCAACTTGCTCCGGACAGGAAATATATATTTTAAAGTGGTAGTTTATCAATTGTGATTCTTTGTTTAATAAATTTAATTTAGTTGATTTTGTCCACCACTATTTCTAAATAATTCGTAGGTTTATATAATTCACCACTTTACGTTTGCAAAATGAACTTAGTAGTTATTTACCGTTTTTTAAAAATTATTTTGGCGTGTCCGAAGCAGTTGGAATCTCTGCACTTAGAAAGCAATGTAATTACACACTATAAGATAAAAAGGAAAATATGAGATCTATATTTATGAAATATTCCAGTATTTTATTTTTCAATACTCGAACTAAGCAACTGAAACCTTTAAAATCTGACACTCTGACATCAATTGACATTCTGCGTTTGTTCTTTCTATTATTGCTTACCGGCCACTATTGTTTATCGCTTGGTTAATTTGAGATAACATCGGATCGAAGTATTGTCCGTACATTCCTATTTATTATTGATTTGATATTTGCATGTTAACTCAAAATTTTGTCTAAATTATGATCGTGTCAAATTGACGCATATCCTTAGAGATAGGTATATCACAACGAGAATTTCAATATTTCAACGCTTTTGAAGGAAATAGACTTCAATATACATTTATCTCGATCAATGGATAACAGTCATTACAAGAGATAACAAAAAAAAATGCAAACAGGTTTTGTAATTTTCTTATTAAATTCGAAATACGTCAAAAAGACGCATCCCGAAAACCTAGTTAAAAATGAAACAATTCAACTAGCTCACCTCTAGCAATTTCGTGACTACACTTATTTATTTGAAAATATAAAGAATAGTGGTGAATAAAAATAATTAAAATGCATTATATTTTCTTAATTTAGCTACCACTTTTTGATTTTTAGGGACTGAATGAACCCTACAAGAAAACAGACATTTATGAAAACTTAACATCAGTAAAGTATGAAATTGTGCAAATGGACATTATTTTTATATTAAATGTCAAGTGCACAAACTAATAAGAAAAACAATAGTAACTAAAATATTTAAACTAAAACGCTTTGTTAAAATAATTATTGATTTAAATTTTAATTTTTTTAAGATTTATTTAAATATGCAAGCAAAAAATATTTTATTAATGAAATAATATCTAAATTAATTTAAATTTAAGACACAAAAAGTATCAAGTTCTTTTAAAATGATATATTTTTTAAATGGAAATAACTATGAAATTGATGACTAGTTATTCTCAATTTAAGTTTATATGAACAAATATTCTTCATTACTGAAGAATGTAATAACATTAAACTTACATTAATTGTGTAATTATATAAAGTCTATAAGATTACTTCAAGATTTGTAGAACTAATTAAACAAGCGAAAAATTCAAAACTTTTTATTAATGGCAAATTTAGATTTAGTTATTAGTATCACGGAAAAAGTCAAATATTTAAACATTTCAATGTTTCCTGTGTTAATTATTTAATCTTTCAAAATTAAATTAAAATTTATTTCGAAAATAATTTTTCTATTACTCCTTTTTTTATAAAATTTGTAAAATTTTTGAGTAAAAAAATACAAATTTGTGAAATAAATAAACCGTTTATTAATAGATGTATGAGTAGTTTACTTAAATTATTGAGTTGAATTGATGATTTCACTTAAAAATTAACGTAATGGTTTGTTAAAAGCTATTTAGGTAAAAGAGGTATATCGTAAGAATTATTTGTGAATCAATGGAGGAAGAATTCAATTCTAGTTATGAGTTGTTATAACAGCTTAAAAAATAACAAAATTTAGTTAAAATCCATTCAGCGTTAAGAAAAAAAAGATTTAATATTGGATGAATATTTTAATAACTAATGGTTGAGGAATTAAAATAAACTATTTGACTTGTTATAACAATTAAAAAAATTGCTGAATTGCTTGTTAAAATTCATTCAGCTGAAAAAAAGTTTGAGATCGGAAGAATTATTGAATAACTAATAGTTGAGAAATTAAATTTTATTGCAAAGTTGAATTATTGTAAAAACTTAAATAATAAAATTGCTTGATAAAATTTATTCAACGAAAAAAAAAACAGCTTAAGATCGGAGGAATTATTCAATAATAAATGGATGAATGGAATTCAAGACATGAATTGTTATAACAGTTTAAAAAATAACAAAATTACTAGTTAAAATTTATTCAGCATTTAAAAAAAAAGATTTAAGATGGAAAGAATATTTGAATATCTACAGAATGAGAAGTTAAATTCAATTAAAAAGTCGAATAGTTATGACAACTTAAAAAATAGCAAAATAGTTCGTTAAAATTCATTCAGCAAAAAAATTACGATAAGAAGAATTATTTAATAGCTAACAGTTGAGGAATTTAATTCAATAACGGATAAGAATTATTATAACAACTTAAATAATGAGAAAGCTTGTTGAAATTCATTCAACGAAAAAAAAAGTTTACGATCATACGAACTACTTAATAACTTATGGATGGGTAATTTAATTCAGTTGCAGATTTGAATTGTTATTGCAACTTAAAAAATGATGAAGTAGCTTGTTAAGATTTATGTAGCGTAAAGAAAAATTATGATCGAAAGAATTTTTTAATAATTTATGGATAAAAAATTAAATTTGATTACAAAGTTGAATTGTTATTACAACTTAAAGTATAAAAGAACGGTTTTTTTTAAAATTTATTCAGTATAAAAAACACGGTTTAAGACGAGAATAACTCTACTTATGAGCTACTAAAAGTTTTACGCAGTTATTTCATTGTCCTCTTTAAGTTTATAGCTGAACAATAAAGTGCAAGTGTGTACTAACTGTAGAGCATTAGCTGGATTTGATGTAAATGGAAGTAAACTATTTTTGGCATAAATATTTTGGACAAATGTTCAACAGGAAATGAACTTTTCTAAAAACAGTTAAAGGCAATGACCTATTTGTTATCTTTATAGATTTTCTCCCTTCCCTTTAATATAATTAAAATGTAAGAATGATAGAGAAAGTTGAATTTAAAAACACTATCTGTCTATGTCAGACAAGGTTTGGATTAAAATATTCATTAGGAAGCGTTTACTGCTTGCTGTTGACATCGAAAACTGATGTACGAGATTATAATCTTAACTACTTAATGCTTATACATCTGTTCGTCGTTCAAATATTTTTAAAGAAAATTAGCGAATAAGGAGAAAAATTAAAAAGGAACTGGATTGTAATCTCATTGGACTTATCTCCTTAAACATTACAATTTTTTTTTAATTATCTGTATATAAAAAACAAAAAAAATCTGTTAATGTCATCCTTCATTTTTTAACATCATTGAAATTTCGTTAAACAAATAGTTTTTGTTCTAAATGGATGAACGTTTTTATTATGATTTTTATTCAAATTATGACAAGAGCATTTATAAACGTTTTGTGATAACGAAGTATTAGTAAAATGGTTAGTGTTGAATAATTGACTCCTGTTTTAAAATTTATTTTTGATAAACTGTTTTATATCATAATGTATTTTTGAAAGTTCGAACAAAACGGGCTTGTTTCACTCATATATCCGTGAAGATAAGAAAATGGGGGATATATTCTATCTTCTACATCCATTAAAGATAAAGTCTATATTTTGACTAGTGTTACGGTGGTTTAAAGACACAAACTACTACTATTATTTTAACCAGTGATCGTTTATTTTATGCATATATTTTCGAATTAATTTACATACTTCAACTAGTAAAATACTTAAATTAATAACGCTTTAATCAAATACAAATTTAAATAACAAATTAAATTAATTAAAAGGCTTTGATTAGTAACAAATAAACTAATTGGCATGGAGAGAACTTACCCGTACTGATGTTTATAGTGGAAATTGGTGGACCTCTAATGACTCGGTTCTACTCTTTCTACTACAGCCCTTTTGTTGTCTTTTTTTTGATCTTTTATACTAAACTTTTTGCTCGATAAAACTATTGCTAAATTCTGGAAAGGTCACATAAGAGATCAAACTTGGACTATAGACTTGTGATTAACCCTTTTCGACACGTATTTCTTAACTTTAATCAAGAGTGTTTATTTGTATTTGCTTAAGTTCTATGTACTAATGGAAGTTTCCACAGTATTTTAAATCTAATCAATTATTTTGCAATTTACGATAAATCTATTTTAAATGTTTTATTGTGATTCTGAATTAAGTGACGATAAGCGTCACGCTAGGAATATAGTGAAATTTTCTTCAAAAACTATTAAAATACGCCCAAAATGTATGCAAGGTTTTATTCAACGGCACCATACGTTTTTCAAATACAAGTACCAGGATATATTATATCAAAGGTGGTCCTAAATTCTTATAAGAAAGGAATTATGATCATATTTCTGTTCAAGAAAATATTTCAGAAAAAAGATCATACAACTGACAATACACAGTTATTAAAAATAGAACGTTATACTAAAAAAAAGAGCACCTTGCAATGATGGGCAATATAGAATCAATCTTTCCCGTTTTTGGTAATTAGAATTTTATTTTTATTTTATAATCGTCGTTGAACAGCCGACCCAATTTTATGGGCCTATGACTACTAATGTTCAACTCCATAGCCTTGTGATTTTTAACCCAATCCAGAAGACAAGGAAACTCCTTGATCGAGTATTGGGAGAAATTTGCCTTCGTGGAGGACTTTTTGATGAAGCTAACCCGCATTTGCGTTGCATGGAGAGGAAGATCGCGAGAATCTCCCACTGTTAGCCTGACGGCAAGGGGATTCTATCCCATGATCCGTCCACCACTGAGGATATTTCACGTCAGCTCTGCGGTCGATGCAAGCCGGGTGCGGAATTCGTATCGACTGGGATTCGAACCCGGTTCGCTTCTCTGGAAGGCGAACTCTCTATCCTCTGAGCCAACTAGGCTTGGTGATTAGAATTATCGGCTCACATCAAATGATCATTACGTCATGGAATTTTTTCAGTCTAAGATTTTCGTCAACAAGCCTATCACATATATACCATTGCCTTAAACGAAAAAATTAAAAACTGTGTAAAACGAATTAAATCTCATTTTTCGAAAAATCCTTGAAATATTGACTTGCGAAAACCCACCTTAACTACCCTATATGAGGGATGCCATGGTTGACTGAAAATGTAAAAAGTGGTAGAAACTAAGTTCTTTTTTACTCGTATAATATCTGCTTGATTGTTAATCGTAACTACCACTACTACTCACATTTCTAATTATTCACATTTAACCCTTTCGGGACGAGTAAGTCATAAATGTATTCGTAAGGAATCAGTATCAGGATGGCAAAAGATAAAAAGGTGTGACTTAAGTTTGAGCATAGCTAATTTGACACATTTATTTTTGCTTTCTTTTTAAATCGAACATATCCAATCCATTTGTGTTAAAAGTGTAACTATACAATTTTTAATTCGAACTACGAGGTGGTGAATTAAATAAGGGAAACAATCATTACGCCGCCCACAAATAAACTGCTAAAGAACTACTTTGGTTACCAGTTTTATCTTTTTACCCTGATTGAAACGGTTTTATGCTGGCACGTATTTGTGACAGTCGGTGCGAAAGGGTTAAAGGGAAACAAAACATTCTTCGCATTCCCCTTCAATAGTAAACTGGAAAAAAATGTGCTAGCAATATTTGATAATTTTTAATAAAATTATGAATTATTTCATACTTTTTTCTCGATTGCAGAAAGAATCTCCAGTGCAAAGGGTTAATTAACCATAGCAAGTCTATAAATAACAAATATAACAAGATGTATTAGACGTATTCTTTTATAAATATAAAAGTAACACAACCAACTGCCTACTCATATTGCAGAAATCGAACATTATATAGAACAACCTAAATAAATAAATGAAACAAAGATGAGTAATCGTTAACGCACCTAACCTTCTACCTGAGTTGTAATAAATGCTTTCTGTCAAGTTTAACAAGAGACAACTGATTTATGAGCTTTATTCTTGTTACAGTATCCCAGTTTACCAACAACATCACAGATTTCTCTTCCTTTTTAAGATAGACAGTGCTGTATTCTTTTGATAAAAAGAATCATTAGAACATTCTAAAGGCTTACCGAGTTGAACAAATTTACCAAAGAGATTTATTTCATGAAGTTGCATAAATTTTTTACAAAGAATTTTGAGAAGATTCATTGTCATACGAAATTAAAATTCTACTTCTCATTGCTGAAATTCAACTTTTTCCATAGTTGCTGAATCTTTTGATTTTCGTGGGAGATGTTGATTTAGAATGTTTCTAATCACCACTACATTTAAATAATTTAAATAAATATAAGAAAGTTTAAACGTGTTTGTTAGTTTAGTAAACAATGCGTTGATTTTTTTAAATCGATCGTCGTAAACGATTGCGAAAAATATATTAACCAGGAAGTGTTAAAAACCACAGATACACAGAGACGCCAACTTGCTCCGTTTTGTAAAAAAATATTTCCTAGTGGTAACGTAATTTAAGTTACTTTTAGTTTAGTACACTTAAGGTAATTATTTAAAAACTGCATGTCAAAAATTCAAAGTAATATATCAAATCCAACTTTATTGTAGTTATTTCATAATGGCTCTTATACAGAGTGGGCGTAATTATTCGTATACTGCAAGTTTTATTTGTTAATTTGCTACCAATTTATTAAAACTTTTACAGAAAGCGGAGTAGTTGGTATTTCTGGCTACTTAGCTGCCGACTTTCACGCATTTTGCGTGATTTCTTTTAAATTCTTAACATGGTAGTTTAATTTATACTTTCCATTTATTTCTTGGATTTATACATTTGATTTAACCTTTTAATGGTCCCTTTATTTCTAGTAAAGGTAAATTAAAGTATTTTTGGAATTGAATTTGTTTTAAGAGTAGTAATTGATATAAGAAAAAAAACTCAATTAGTTTATAAAAATGCCCTTTTTTGGTGGTAAATATATTTAACACGACCTATAAAGAGCTTATTGATTTTTATTTTTCTTTATTTATAAAATAAATTTTATAAATGCTACAAATTTCAAAAGGAATTATATATTTTATAACTTTTATACGCTTTTTTAACCCCTTGGGGACGAGTGATTCATAAAAGCATTCCTACAAAATCAGAGTCAGGATGGAAATAAATAAAAAACGGTAGTTTAAATGTAGGCGCTGCTATCTTGACAGACTTACTTTGCTTTTACTTTATTTATTGTTAGTTTAATCATATATATAATCAACGTTAGTTCAAAGTATAACTAAATAATTTTATTTTAAATTTAAGTAATGGTGAATTAAATAAATCAAACAATTATAACCCCGCTCACAAATTAACTGCTAAAGAACTACTTAGGTTACCAGTTTTATCTTTTTACCCTGATTGAAACGGTTTTATGCTGGCACGTATTTGTGACAGTCGGCGAGAAAGGGTTAAACTAACAAATGGTTAACAATTTTATTCGAACGCATTTCAAGTAAACTGAAGTTATTAACAAATGGAAATCTAAATTAAAAGTGGGAAAAAAGTGGTGGTAAGTATACTTCCCACGGCCCACACTGGAACAAAATCAGAAAAATGCGGACAAAATTAGAAAATTAACTTCCATGCAGAGATGCCAACTGCTCCGGACACACCAAAAAGATTAAAAAAACGGTAAATAACTACAGAATAAATTTTGCCAATATTCGACTAATTTTGCTTGCTTTTTGAAAGGTACCGCATGACATAAAAACTTTAAAGTGGTGGATTATATAAGCTTATGAATTATTTAGAAATAGTGGTGGATAAAAATCTACTAAATTGAATTTATTAAACCAAGAATAACAATTGATAAACTACCACTTTAAAATATATATTTGCTGTCCGAAGCAAGTTGGCATCTCTGTCAATATGTTCTAAAAATTGATCACCTATAGGTTTTTTGGGTCGTTGATTTCAAATATGAAGTCAAAATTTCAGAAAAACAAAATGTCGGATCGAAAATAGCGGATGATTATTGAAAAAATTGTAAATAAATGAATAAAAATTATTTACTAGTAGTTTTTGAGATCTTTGATTACAAATTTGTGGTTAATAATTTTAATAAATAAAGTAATTGATGTAAAATCGCAAATACTTATCAAAACAAATTTAAACTAAATAAATTGAATCAAAATATTTAAGATTGTTAATTACGAATTCGATTATCGAATTTAAAAAAAATAATGAATCTATTTTGCTAGATATAAAAAATTTTGATTTAAAAAATTCAATTAAATTTCAATTTAAAAAAATGACAAGATTGTTCAGCCTTGTAGATGTAAGAAAATCATTATTATAAAAATGACACGAACTCTAAAAATTGATATATCAGTCAAATTCGCAAATATTCGCAGCTAAATGTTTTTTTTTTTTTTTTTTTTTTTTTTTTTTTTTTTTTTAAATTCTTGAGTATATATACCAAACAAATGTACACATTTTTTTTTACCTCTGCAACGTAAAGCTTTTTTTTATAGAGTACCCTAAAGTTACAATTTCATTGTACAGGGCAGAAATCGGGAAATGGCTCTAGTTTTAATAGTATTTATATAAAATAATGAATTCATATATATCATAGAAATACATTTATGTATAAATCATGCATAGTTTTAATATTTTTATTTACTATAAGGATTTATCATATTAATAAAAATGTAACAAAAAAATTTAATTTTTTTTATTTCGATTTTGTTTCCATTTAATTGCTATTTCCATTAATAAACCAAAAAAAAAATGCACCGTCATATTCCTTGGATATTTTACTACAAAAAACCATATTGAGAATTTTTTTCTCTTATAACTTCATTTTTTTTATTTTTGACAGCGAAAAATGATTTTTGTTCCAAATCGCAGCTTTCGAAAAGGTTAATAAATACATAAAAGTCCTATGAAAATTAGCCAAAAATATAAGGTATTGGCGTAGACTTAATAATTCAAGCTTACATTTGTAAAATCAATTTTTATAATGCAATTATATTATACAATTATATATTTTTATAATTACTACAGAGAATAATAACCGTAAATCATAAAAAACGCCATTTATGTAACATTTATAAACCACATGTTCTTAATTTAGCTTAAACCTATAAACTATAGAATATATCATTAAACAGTGACACTTAAAAGCATGTTACGTTAATAGCGATGTATGTTTATTGCTCTTTTTTTCCCACTTACACCGCGGCAAAACTATTTTTCTAAGTCTTT